TACGGGATGGACAGCTATCCAATTGGCACCAATTCAGTTGTGGCTGTCATCTCCTACAGTGGCTATGACATGGAAGATGCCATGGTAAGCCAACAAAAGGAGAAATCCTGCCGTCCTGTAAAGGAATTTGATGTGGGGGACTGGGAAGAAGGGTGGTACCTAGCTGAGAAGAGCCTGTTCCCTGCTTCTGCTCATCCACAGGCTCCGTTAGGGTGGATACAGGAGGACAGCAGTTAGGGGTTGTTATCACAGGTAGTGCTGGAGACACTGAGAGTAAAGCAGAGCTCCTCTGTGCAAAGCAGTGGGCTTCCAGGATTGAAAAATACTGGGCTTACAGGAGGTTTGGGCCTTTTGGAAAGGTGACTTGCTGGGAGGCTTTGTTTAGGAAGGCGGTGTTAGAAAGGTAAGCATCGGATCCGAATGGAAATGTTTTCTTTGTTGAGTTTATTAGCAGGTCCATAACAGGCCTTTGTTTCTTCCTTTTAGATTGTGAACAAATCTTCCTGGCAGAGAGGGTTTGCCTATGGGAGCGTTATCAAGGTGGAGAGCATTGACCTTTCCCTCAAAGCCAGCAAGGCAGGCGATAATTTAGTATTTGGCATCAGGCCTGGTAATCCGAACGTTACGGAGAAGCTGGATGCTGACGGACTGCCTTTTGTCGGCTCTGTCCTTCAGCCTGGGGACCCCTTCTACAGCTTCATGAACCTCAACACAGGGGAGACCTTCACTGTGTACTATCGGTAAGTACAGCTTGTCCCTCCGGGCTCCACGCACCCAGAGGTGAGCAGCCTGAGGGCAGTTGGCCCTGAGGAGCTGCAGCATCTTTTCCTCCAGGTGTTCCCCTTTCTCCTCATGTGATAGTGTCCACGTCTTGACAGAGAGAGCGTGAAGTTGATGTTGTAGGTGACTCCCATGCGTGTATCACGGCTTTTCTCTAAGGCTCTGTATGCTGCAGAGCCTGACTTACCCCAGAAGGAGAACCTGAGGCCAGCAAGAATAAAGAGGTTGCAGAAGTGTTCTGCTGTCTGCCAAGGACTGCCCATCCCCTGCAGTCATTTTCTGTAGCTTTCTGTTAATTGACTTGCATATGGTGTTGTCTCTAAAAATCTCAACGAAACATCAAACGGAAAATCAAAATAAAGTGCCTGGTCCCAGAGACTTGCCAGAAAACCTTGTAGGAAAAGTTGTTACAGGATTAGGGGTTCAAGGAGCATTTTTATTAACGTTGCAGCTCTGAAACTGCTACAGTATTAAAACTTGTCAACTACACTCCTCCTTCCCCCTGGAATATTTTGATGATAAGTTTGTTAAGATTTTTGAAATTCACTTGAAAGAGAGAAGTCTGCTGAGGCTTTCATTAAAATCCTCTTAATTCTTTCAGGGAAGGAAAGCAAAATCATTGACAAAACCTGATACATTGAAATGCACCCTGTACTCCCAGTTGTCCATACAACTTCAGGCCTTACCTGTGTCTCTGCAGCATTGACAGAGTGAGGATAATGCCGTGTGGTTGTTCACGTTGTGAAGGTGAATTAGTTTGAGAAAGGTCTTGGGTAACACCGTTACTGGCATCACTGGGAAAGCTCTTGTTTATCACTGTGTAACAGATGATGCCCTGGGGAGACTGCTGTGGACTCCTCGAATTAGTGATTCTGGTCCTAGAGCAGGGCTGAGAGATTCGGCCGGCACACGGTAGTGGGGATCTGTAAGCTCAGCCTTGTCCTTGCACTTACGGAGCCCCCTTTGGCTCCCCCACCTCACGTTCCTGCTCCCCAGCTCTCTCATGCCAGCCCGGCCTTAGTTCAGGTTTCTCATCCAGAGAGTCAGGTTACCTCCGTACCATTCAGCTTTTGTTCATTCTTGGTCCGAGTCGGGTAATTATTTAGATTTCTACAGAGAGATGAGGTTCCCAGCAATCCGTGTTGGCTCCTGTCCCCAGTTTGCCCCAGAGACCCCGGGCCCGTAAGATGGAGTTCTCCCTACTGTCCTAAGTGCTGCATACACCGACAGATCTGATGCGTGGCTTGGGAGAGAGGGAGGACAGGGGCTTTGACTTCCAAAGTTTCAACAAGCATGGAGGAGGCTTATGAAGCAGTTTCCTATTTTGTGGTTGGTTGTTTATGATGGCCTTGTACCCTGGTTGCATTTGGACACAGCAAATCAGTCGCGTTGAAAGAGAAGCTAAACTTGGGTACAGACCTTCTGCAAACACTGTGTTCGTTAGGACATCAAAGGAGAAGAAGAAAAGTAACTTTGCCTTAACACGGGACAAAACGGATTTATTCCTTAGCTGTCATCTCCAAAACGAGTGGAGAGTTTGGGCTGAGAGCTCTGTAACAAGAGTTAAGCCTCCAGCAGACATCTCACACGTGGAACTTCAGGCTGAGGGTTCACCTGGAGAAGCAGCACACCCTGAACAAGACACTTGGTGGCAAAACCCTCGCAGGCTCACACTGTGCCTTCCCTTTCTGCTCTGAGCTTCCCTCTCTGCTTGGCGCTGAACCTGGTTCTTTATTTTGGTATCCCACCAAGATGGTCTGAATTTATTTGGGGGTGGGGAGAGGGACTGCTGCCTTAACACAAAACCAGTGGCACTGGAATGCAGTTCATCAGATAAAGCGTGACACGGGTGAACAAGGTTTAAATGATCTTTAATTTAAATCATGGGTGGCACATTACCTGATGCCCTGAAAGTTGTAGCTGTGCTTCTGGTTTTAGAAAAAGCAAACGACTGGCACTTGCGTGACGCCGCTGTGCTGCTTCCTTGCCCTAATTCTTAGGCAGTCTGATTTCCCCCACTGCTGGGTAGCACCTTTCAAGAGCGGTGTTGTTCCCCAGTTGTCCCAAGGCATTTTGATAGACTAGACTTACAGAGTGGTTTGGTTTTTTTTCCTTCATTACCCTTCCATAGCTGAAAGTCATTAGCTCACCTTGACATCTTTGCTGTGTTTGTTTTTCTGCCTACACAGGAATAAGGAAGTCGGCATTGTAGACAATGTCAGGTTATGCAGTAATGACCGTGGCACCGGGAAATTCAAGAAGGCTTGCATCACTGTGAGGGTGCCCCGAAATCCAACCGTCGGAGACAAATTTGCCAGCCGTCATGGGCAGAAAGGTATCCTGAGCCAGCTCTGGCCAGTTGAGGATATGCCGTTCACGGAGAACGGGATGGTTCCAGACATCCTCTTCAACCCCCACGGCTTTCCCTCCCGTATGACCATTGGGATGTTAATCGAGAGCATGGCGGGGAAGTCAGCGGCGCTGCACGGCGTCTCCTACGATGCCACCCCCTTCACCTTCACGGAGAAGAACTCCGCCCTGAAATACTTCGGTGAGACTTTAGTGAGCGCGGGTTACAACTTCTTCGGGACGGAGAAGATGTACAGTGGCATCAGCGGCTTGGAGCTGGAGGCGGAGATCTTCGTGGGAGTCGTCTATTACCAGCGCCTGCGCCACATGGTCTCGGACAAGTTCCAGGTGAGGACAACGGGGCCCCGAGACGCTGTCACCAACCAGCCCGTCAAGGGGAGGAACGTGGAAGGTGGGATTCGCTTCGGCGAGATGGAGCGGGATGCTTTGCTGGCTCACGGCACGTCTTTCTTGCTGCAAGACCGCCTGTTCAACTGCTCCGACGGCTCCGTAGCCTACGTCTGCATGAGCTGCGGCAGCATGACGTCTCCCGTGCTGGAGAAACCGCCCCACTCCTCCGCTGTCACGAGCAACAGGAGGTACTCCTGCTCTGTCTGCAGCAAGGTGGACACCATCGAGGTGGTCCCCGTGCCCCATGTCTTCCGTTACTTCGTGGCCGAGCTGGCAGCCATGAACATCAAAACAAAGCTCAACGTGGAGTAGCTCTGTCCTCGGGCCCCGCGGCGCTGCTGCTGGGAGGGAGGAAGCACGCGTCCGTTCCGCCTTGCGGGTTTCAAGTGTTAAGTCAGTTCTCAGGTTCCTCAAACGCTTCCAAGATTAATTTGATGTTGGTACGGAGACGAGGCGGCCGGCAAGCTGCGCAGCGAGGGCGTGCGGCTCTCTTTTGAAGTTCGTTTGCGCTTCCTAAAGGATCGCTAGCTGTCGAGGCGCGTGCGGAAATCAAGCAATGCCACGGCTCCCGCCAGGCTGCCGGGTCGAGAGCGGTGGGGGTTCTTTGTTCTCCGGGCGCTGGCTGCAGCTGCCAAGATGAAGAGGTCATAAAACAGCATGAGATGAATGCTGGAAATGACGGGGGAAAAAGAAAAAAAGGATACGTTTTGTTTCTCGAAGAAAAAAATCCTTGCAAAACATAAGCCTTAATGATGGGTAGGTGTCGAAGTGATTGGACGGTTTTTTTTTTTTTTGGTTTTGTTTTGCTTTATTTCGATGCATACGCCTTGAAACTCATGACGAAGAAGGAGGAGGCACAAAGTTCTACTTCCTGAAGCCACAACCTTGCCTGCAAGAGCCCGAGCCGGGCCTGGCGCGGGGGTGTTCGGCCTCACCAAGCCCCGCGCCGTCTCGGTGCAGCGCCGCAGCGGCCGGGCTGCTTTCGGGGTGCGTTTTGCCTCCGTGTGAAGAGGAAGAAGAAATCCGTGAGCCTTCCCGCCTGGATCTCGCCGCAGCCGCCAAGCTCGCCTTAACCCTTCTTGTTTAAGAATTCTTTTGTACGTTTCTAAATCATCTGTCTTCAGAGCCGTGCTTGGAGCGGGGGCCGGGCCGGGGCTGTGCTGGGGGCTTCCCCCGGTTTTAGGGCCCGGTGAGGCCGGGGCGGTTCTCCCAAGGTTTGGGGGGCGGTGGCAGGCGGGAAGCGGTGGGTTTGTCCCCCGTGGGCGAGGCGAGCGGGCGCCGTATTCCCGGCGGTTCCTTCCCGCTCCGGACCAGCCGCAGAACCTCGGCGAAGGAAGGGGCGGGCGGCGGGACCCGGGGGCGCTCCCGCTCCATGGCGCGGCGGCGGCACCGGGAGGGCGGTACCACTGCAGGAGAAGGGGAGGGGGACGACGGGACGCTACCACTGCTGCTTGGGGGGGGGGGCGGGCAGCGCCATTGTCGCGCTGTCACCGCTGCGATGGGACCGAGCCCCCGCCCCAAACCGCCCCACCGCAACCCCAGGTGCTGGGGGGCACAGTTGGGTGCTGAGCCTTCAGCAGCATGGAGGTGCCCTGGGTGCTGCTGGCCGCTGCTCTCCTGCCCTGTGAGTATCCCCCAGGAGGGATAAATTTGGGGTTGGAGGGGGGTGTGTGTGCAAAATGCCCCCTTAACCCCTGTCCCCACCAGCCGGCTGGGCCACCAAGCCCCTGCCCACGCTGGCCCCACCGCTGATCGTGGCGGTGGCCGGGCAACCCCGGCGGCTGGTGGCCTGCGTGGTGAGAGAGCTAGCCCCCGGCTCCGGCCATGCTGTCTGGATCTCCGGCGGGAACGGCAGCGCCTTACAGCCCCTCGCCTACGGGACCTCTCGGGAGGACGGCGGCACCGTTTGCGCCGTCGCCCTCCTCCCCGGTGACCCGCGCGGCAAGGGGGATCTCGCCTGCCATGTGGGACCCAACGCGACGGCCCCAACCCACAGCTCCAGCCCCGTCTGCTTCACGGGTAACGGCCCAGGTGGTGCGGAGATGGAGGGGGCGGGGGGGGGGGAACAAGGTCGTCACCCCCAACGCAAGGAAAAGGGGGTTGCGGCCGGTTGGGCTGCGCACCTGGCCTCCCCTCCAGCTGCTCTCTTCATCCCGCCAGGCGAGGAGGAGGTGACAAAACCATGTCCCAGCAGCGTGGTGGGTGAGTCTCCGCGCCCCTCCATTCTGTAGGGGGGTCCCCACGGCAGCGTGGGGTTGGGGAAGAAGGTGGGGGTGAAGCTCCGTCGCGATGGGGAAGGTGGGTCAGCACCGGGGCCAGCGTGGCGAGGTGGCTCAGGGGCAGGGGAGGGCGGCAAAAAAAGTCCACAGCAGGCCCTTGGGAGGCTGAAGTTTTGGGGATACACTGGAGCGGGGCAGCAGGGTGCCTGCGGCGGGTGTCACCCCCCCCCCCCCCTCCTCCGTCGCAGCGGTGCCAGCCTGCGCCTCGGTGGCCTTGCTGGCAGCCATCCGCCTGGTGCTGCTGAAGGTCGCGCTCTGCGACGCCATCCTCACCTCCCTCCTCCTCGCCCAGAGCTGAGGGTCTCAGCACCCCCAACCCTGAGGGGTAAGTCGTGTGTCCCCCCCTTCTCATTTGGCTTTGGGGGTGCAGGAGGCGCCTGAAATATTCTGGAGGGGGGTGGCGTGGAAGCCCTTCAAGTGCTGGAGGGGGGGGAGAGACAAGATGCTGTTGGGGGGGGGGGGGAAGAGAAGAGAAGCTGCCGTGTTGGGGGTGGCAAGGACCTGGAATTACCCAAGGGGGGGTGTGTGTAGGAATGGACCCCGAATTATCCAGGGGTGGGGAGGAGACCCCGAATTACCGGGGGGTAAAGGGAGGGGACCACGAATTAAAGGGAGGGGAGCGGGGCCACCTGCGCGCCCTCTGACACCCACGTGGGGGGGGGGGGGGGGGGGGGGGAAACGATCCGGGGGCGGGGTTACGTCGGCTGGGCCTTTCTGATTGGCTGGGGTCGGGCGGGCGGACCGCTGGGATTGGTCGGCGCCCGCGCGGTTGCTGTGGTTACCGGCTGCCGGAAGTTGCGGCCCCGGAAGTGGGAGTCATGGCGGCGGCGTTGCTGCCGCTGCTGATGGCGGCGGCGGCGGCGGCGGCGCTGGCGGGAGGCGACGACTCGGACTGGGTGCGGCTGCCCAGCAAATGCGAGGGTGAGCGGGGACGGGGACGGGGACGGGGCTGGGGGGGCCCGCCGGAGCGCCTGGGCCCGGCTGCGGCTCGCCGGGCGAAGCTACCGGGAGTTACGGGTGCGGAGGCTGTGGCCCTGAGGCCTCCTGCCCCCTTTACCCCCCCCTTCCTTCCCCCCCCCTTCCTTTCCCCCCCCTCTCCTTTCCCTCCCCCCTTCCTTTCCCCCCCCCCTTCCTTTTCCCCCCCCCCTTCCTTTTCCCCCCCCCCCTTCCTTTTCCCCCCCCCTTCCTCTCCCCCCCCTCCTTGCTGCTCACACTTCAGCCTCGGTGACGCTTCCTCCCTCGATTCACAAGCACTTCAAAGCTTTGCAGGCAATCCACAGCGGGTCGTGACAGACCTCTGCTGTCCTGCTGCGATGCCCCTCTGCCTTTGCTGCGCAGGGACACACAGAACTTGACAGTAAAAAGAAAGAAATAAAACTCCCGGGCTCTTGGTGAAGCTTTTCCTGCTGGGGAGGTCGCTCTGGAAACACTGATGTCCCAGCTGCGCTGCTGTGGCACCTGTGTAACGTCAGAGAAGCAGCGCAGCGGGGGCCGAGCGTGTGCTGCTCCTCTTCCTGCCTGGATAAACTGGACGAGGGAGACCCGAGGCTGGAGGGGCTGAGGGGACGGAGCCCCCGTCCCGCCTGAGAAGTGGCTGCAGCCAGAGAAAGGAAAGTGCGGGAGTGTCTCAGCGATTCGCCTGCCTGCAGCCCCTCTCTCCACTCACCTCACCGCCTGGGAGAAGATGTGGCAGCTCGTCGCCGGACCCTTTCCCAAAGTGGGGTTTAAAGAAAGGAAACAGGAGCTTGCAGCGCGCGACGGAGCTTTCTCGGACCCCGCTTTTGGGGGAGGAAGGGCCACGCCACGCCTGGCTTCCATCCCTCCGCATTCCCACTTGGAAACACCCCCCCTCCCCAAGATGTTTCTTCTGCCCTCTGTTTCTATAGCTCTGTCAGACTCTTTGTTACAGAAGCAATAAAGCTTTTGGTTCACTTTCTCAGTTTTCTAAGAGGAAACACGTGCTGTGTTATGGGTGCCGCGCTCTCTGATGCTAGAGCTGGCAGCCCCTCGGGTCGGGGACACGGTCTACCCGCCAGCGTTTTTGCTGGTCGCTCCCCAGGACCCTGGGCAGGGGGGAACTGGGAACTGTTACTGGGAGGGATGCGCTGGTGTGGCGGGGAGGAGCCATCAGCCCACAGCACAAAAAGACCGGGAGGAGGGGGAACGGCTCGTGGTGTGGGAGTGGAACTGTCCGCCTGGAAACCTGCCGGCGGAACGGGTGGCCTCTGCCTGCCCCGTTGAGCCATTCCTTTTTGTTGTTTGTTTTTTCGTTTTGAATGGGCAAGGTGTGTTTTCTGCTCGCAGCAGCTCTCGCCTGCCTGGTGCTTCTCACTGCTGCTCGCCCATCGGAGCGGCGGAGCCCCCCACCCCTGAGTCCCCCACCCCTGAGCCCCCCACCCCTAACCCCCCCGCGCTTTCCTTCCTGCAGTGTGCAAGTACGTGGCGGTGGAGCTGAAATCCGCTTTTGAAGAGACAGGCAAGACCAAGGAGGTGATCGACACCAAGTACGGCTTCCTGGACGGGAAGGGCTCCGCTGTCAAGTACACGCAGTCGTAAGTGAGCGCGGGACGGGCTCCGGGAGCCCGGCCTCCGCCGCTCCTCTAAGAAAATTAAAGCGTGCTGGGGAAGGGGGAGCTGCAGGGGCCTCCCCCGCCGCGCTGCGCCCTCCAAGGCTGGGGGGCCGCGCCGATCCCGAGCCCTCCCTCCTCTCCGTGCAGGGACATCCGCTTAATCGAGGTGACAGAAAACATCTGCAAGCGGCTCTTGGATTACAACCTGCACAAGGAGAGGAGCGGCAGTAACAGATTCGCGAAGGTGAGGGCTTGGCCTCCCCTCCCCCAAAAAAGTCCCTCGCCCGCCCTTGCCCTGCCAGGGAGCCCAGCTGGGGTTTGTTCTTCCCACCCCCTGCACCCACCCCGAGTCAGGTGTGGGGTGCTGTCCTTGGCAGGGTGGGCAGCCCCTCGCCTGCACGGGGAGAGCAAAGGGCTGTGCTGCCTGGCCCTGGTTTGGGGAGCGGGTCTGCAGAGCGGGGGGCAAATCCTTCCTGGTAACGCTGGTGCCCGTTGCAGGAGAGAGGGGAGGGGGACGCCCTGATTTTGGCAGGGTCACGTGGCTGGCGACGGGAGGGGAGAGTTGGGAGGTGCGTGGCTTCACCCAGCAGCGCTGCTCCCCCCCCCCTCTGCTCCCAGGGCATGTCAGAGACGTTCGAGACGCTGCACAACCTGGTGCACAAGGGCGTCAAGGTGGTGATGGACATCCCCTACGAGCTGTGGAACGAGACCTCGGCAGAGGTGGCTGACCTCAAAAAGCAGGTACCGGGCTGGAGCACGGCGGCGGGGAGAGGAGGAGGAGGAGGGAGGGGAGGATGTTTCCCAGCAGCACGGGGCTGGAGCTCGGCTCTCCTCGCCCGCCCCAGTGCGACGTGCTGGTGGAGGAGTACGAAGACGTGATCGAGGACTGGTACCGGCACCACCAGACGGAGGATCTCTCCCAGTTTCTCTGCGCGGAGCACGTGCTCAAAGGGAAGGACACGAGTAAGTCCCGGCTGGCGCTTGGCCGGGGCGGGGGGAGCCCCGCTGCTCCCTCGGGGTCCCCCCCTCTTTGCCTCTCTCGTCCGTCCCCCCCCAGGCTGCCTGGCGGAGAAGTGGAGCGGCAAGAAGGGCGACTTGGCAAGTGCCGGGGGGAAACCGAGCAAGAGAAAGAGCGGGAAGAAGAAGAAGAAGGAGGAGGAGGAGGAGGAGGAGGGAGCCGGCAGGCTGCTGCCCGCGGGGGAGCCGCTGGAGGAGAGCGGGGTGCAGGAGGAGGCTCCGCTCCCCCGCAGCCCCGCCGATGAGCTGTAGGCGCCCGGGACCGAAGGGACTTGTGCTGGGGCGGGGGCGGCCCGGGGCGCCTGGCCCCAGCCCGGGCGGTCACCGGGCCGGGACCCCCCGCCCGACGCTGTAAATAAAGAGACGTTTGTCCCCGGAGCCGCCGGCGCTGCTTCCCCCCCCCCCCCCCCCCGGGGCGGACACCGGGACCGGGAGAAAGGGCGGGGCGGGCTGGGATTGGCGGAGGCGGCGGGGCGGGGGCGTGAGTGGCAGGGAGGGCAGGGGGCGTGGCGGGGGGGACGGGGGGGCGTGGCGAGGGTTGGTGGGGCGGGGAAGACGGGGATTGGCGGGTCCGCGAGGGGCGGGGGCGGCTGCCGGCAGCGGCGATTGGCGGGGCGGGGCCGAGGGGGCGGGGCGCGGCGGGTCCCGGAGCGGCGGCGGGGCCGGGGCCGGGGCGGCGGGATGGTGGACAGCGTGTACCGGACACGGTCGCTGGGGGTGGCGGCGGAGGGGCTGCCGGACCAGTACGCAGACGGGCGGGCGGCCCGAGTATGGCAGCTCTACATCGGGGACACGCGAAGCCGCACAGCCGAGTACCGCAGCTGGCTCCTGGCGCTGCTCCGCCAGCACCGCTGCCGCTCCGTCCTCGACGTGGCCTGCGGCACCGGGTGAGGCTCCGCGCACCCCTCTGCCCCCCCCCCCCCCCCCCCCCCGGTCCCGGGACCCCCCGGCCCCACTGACAGCCCCGCTCCCCAGGGTGGACTCCATCATGCTGCTGGAGGAAGGCTTCCAGGTGACCAGCGTCGACGCCAGCGACAAGATGCTCAAGTACGCGCTGAAGGAGCGCTGGGAGCGGCGCAAGGAGGAGCCCTTCGACCGATGGGGTGCGGGGATGGCGTGAGGACACCCCCCACCCCTTCCCCCCCCCCCCCCCCCCAAAAACCACCACCCCACACCGCTCCCTGACCCCCCCCCCGACAGCGCTGCGGGGACGGGCAAGGGATTTGCCCTGAGCCTGGCTGCTGGATCCGGCACCTGCAGGGGCTTGGGGGGGGGGGGGAGGCTGGTGTGGCTTTGCATCCCGGGGAGACTTGGGTAAGTGGGGTGTCCCCTCACTTCCCCCTCCCCTGCGCTGCAGTCATCGAGGAGGCCAACTGGCTGACGCTGGAGAAGGACCTGGAGAAGCCAGGGGACGGGTTCGACGCCGTCATCTGCCTGGGCAACTCCTTCGCGCACCTGCCTGACTTCAAAGGTGGGAGCGAGGAGGAGGAGGAGGAGGAGGAGGGGTGTGGGGGTGCGTCTGGGGTACCTATGGGGGCACGCACAGTGTCTCCCGGCGGGCTGAGACCTCACGCGCTGAGTTCTCACACACCACGGAGCATCCCGTGGCGGCGGAGGAGCTGCGCGCCGCTACGGCCCATCGCTAGCGAGGCTGGGGATGCACCCAGGCTTGTGCCACGAGCGGGGTGGTGGGGGGGTTTTTTTTGTTGTTTTTTTTTTTCTCTTTTCCTCCACCCCGACACTGCCCCGGTGAGGCTGAGAACGTGCCTGAGCTCATACCATGGGTGGGGCTGTGGGTTTGCCGAGGTTTGCCTGGGGAAGTGGGGGGGGGGGGGTGTGGGGGAAAGATGGTTGGGGGCAGCTCGGTGTGTGTACGGGCGAGCTGAAGCCTCCTAGGCTGCGCCACGGGGGGGTGGCAGCCGGTTCCTGGGGCCACCCTGGTTGTCTCCCCAGGGGACCAGAGCGACCACAAGCTGGCCCTGAGGAACATTGCCAGCATGGTGCGGCCCGGGGGCGTCCTGGTCATCGACCACCGCAACTACGATCACATCCTGGCCACCGGCTGCGCCCCGCCGGGCAAGAACATCTACTACAAGGTGAGTGGCTGGCAGCCCCTGCCCTCTCTCCTCCGCCCCAGCCCCCCCCCCCCCCCCAAGCCAAGCAGGGAGCAGAGCTGTGCCCAGGCTGGGGGCCACCGCATCCCCCCCCCCCAGGCCACAGCCGGCTCCCTGCGGTCCCCAGAGCGATCTGACCAAGGACATCACCACCTCGGTGCTGCTGGTCAACAACAAGGCGCACATGGTGACCCTGGACTACACCGTGCAGGTCCCCCCGACCGAGGCGGGGGCTGCCCCGGAGCTGAGGTGAGAGGGGCCGCGGGGGGGGGGGGGGGGGGGAGAGGCAGGGGGTTGGTTGTGCCCTGCTTCCTCCCCCCCCAACCCCATCGTCGCCTCCTTGCAGCAAGTTTCGGCTCTCGTACTACCCGCACCGCCTGGAGGCCTTCACCGCCCTGCTGAAAGGCGCCTTCCAGGGGAAGTGCCAGCACAGCGTCCTGGGGGACTTCCAGCCCTACACGCTGGGGCAGGCCCACGTCCCCTGCTACTTCATCCACGTGGTGAAGAAGACAGCCTGAGGGGGCCGGGGAGGAAGGACTGTGGGGGCTGAGAGCCGCAAGTAGCTCTGGGGACATCACTGAGCCCCCCCCCCCCCCCCTTCCCCTTAATTAAGATCACTCGTGAAAGCTACCAGAGCCCGTGGTCCGTGTATGCGCGTGTGGGCAAGGGATGGGGCAGGGAGGACGGTGACGGCCACCTCGGGACGCCCAGCCTGGAGTGGGGGGAACATGGGGTGGGCGCAGGCACAGCCTCACCCCCCCACACACACGCCCCCAGTTCAGGTACCAGTCAGGCCACTGGGGCACGGGGGTCCCCTTGACGCCGAGGGAAGGGTGGGCTGGCTGCCCCCCTCCTCCCCCGCCCCCCCCCCCCCCTCACCTTTTCTTAACACCCCTCAGCCCCATCCAGGGGTGCTCGCAGCCCACTGGGGGTCACAAGGTGGGGGGGGAAGACACCCCAGCGAGTGCTTTTGCTGCGGCCGCAGCTCTCACCTCACCCTCCCCGGGGAAAAGGGGGGGGTGGAGGGGGGGGGTGGAGGCCAGATCCAGCAGCACGTTGCGGTCAGGGGCAGCTCTGCCCGAACACGCTCAGGTGCTGGAGCCAGAGCAACGGGGCTGGAGGCGTAGGGGCAGCTGGGGCTTCCTGCACCCAACCCCGGCAGCGGCTGCAGAACCAGCCCCCCAAGGAGGTGCTCGGGGGGGGGATGGAAACCAGTCCTCGACAGCCACGCTTGGCTCAGGACCACAACCTCCGGCAGCCTGGGCGCAGGCAGCGGCGCTGGGGCACGCAGCCGGCTGCTCCAGCCAAGCGTGGAGTATTCCTCACCCTGCCACGAGGTTTTCCTGGGAGCTGCTGGGGATTTTCCTTTGCTGCCCCCTCGCCCCCAGCGCCTCCGGGAAGAGCTGGGCTCCCTCCGCTCTGGCTCACGGCTGAGCGAACCGCCCCCCCTTCCCTCAGGGCTCCAGCCATTCTGGCAGCCTTTGCTGAGCAAAGGTGGCCCCAGCCTGGTTCGTGGGTGTACACACACACACACACCCCAACACGGGCAGGACCTTCCCGAGCCCACAGGCACCAGCAGCAAGCCAAGACCCGAGGCCAGGCAATACCTAGTGCCAAAAGCCCCTATTTATTCAGCGGGACCATGTCGAGCCCGGGTCAGCTGCCAGCACCCCTCAGCGGGGGCTGACACCCCAACCAGCAACACCTCCAGCCCCGCTCTTGCTGCCAAACCGCGTGCTGTTTGGTGGCTGTCACCCACGGAGCCACTCTCACATTGCCCCCACCCCCGGGACTCGGCTTCCTCCCCACGGGGGTCACCCGGCAGCCGCAGAGTGCTCCCCGAAATGCGAGGGGCCGTTGCAGAACCCAACACCAGCCTGGCTGAGCAGGGCAGTGCTCCCAGCAAGAAAATGCACGGCCGCTTCTTCCACGCGAGCTCGATAGAAAGGGGCCCAGGGACATCTGAGAGGAGCTGGCAGGTGCCTGGTCGTCCTTGTTTTCTCAGACCCCTTACCACGCCGTCCCCATCGCCCCTCCAGTCCCAGCTCTGCTGAGCATTAGCGGGCAGCAAGCTTCTGCTGGATGAGCCTGTACCTGAGCAGCTCCTGCTCGGAGACGGATGGCTGCAAGCTCGCAGCAGCCTGCAGGAAATCTTCCATTGTCAGGATCAGAGCAGAGCTCTCGGTATCCAGCCCTGCGTGAGAGAGAGGAGGGGAGAAGGCTGAGCGCCAAGCGCAGGGAGGGCTGGCAAGATCCAACAGCCCCCTCTCCAGCTGCCAGAGCCTGGAATCCAAAGCCTGTGTCTCTCTCCTCCCCCCTGGGGCCAAGTGCTAGAGGTGACATCTGCAGAAACTGCGTGCCTGCCAGTGACCGGTCCCCCAAGCCACCGAGGCTCTTCTCACACAGCCCAGTGACCAGGAGCGGTGACTTCCCGCTCTGCCCCTCTGCTAGGCTGCCCCGAGGTGTGGGACGGGCAGGGGCTGGGGGTCCTACCTTCCTCAATCCATTCCACCTTGCGTTTGACAGCGCACAGCATGGCGTCTGAGCACAGGGCATAGATGTCTGCTCCTGTCAGGCGAGCCGGGCATTTTTCCAGGACGGCGGTGAGATTCACGCAAGGATCCAGTTGAAAACTGCCAAGAGAGAAAACTGCAGGTGTAAAAGCCACAGGGAAAAAAAAAAAAAAAGAGACCAGGAGAGATGTGGCAACCAGCGTGACTGGGCAGGAGGTGTCAGAGGCCCCATGTTTAGCTGCTTCCAGACTGTGCTCTGCACGCTCCGAAAAACAATCAAAGGGGCTGGTTTGTTTTTTTCAACGCGGTTGAAACATCCATGCAGCAAGGTCCTCTCCTGCTAAGCAGGATCAAAGGCAACTTCGAGTTCTCACTCTGAGAACTTAAATGCTCCACATGCCTGGGAACAGCCTACAGCCAGGGCTGGATAAGAACATGTTTAATTACAGACAGCACAAACCACTGTAACGCCAAACCGTCCCACCAGAGCCACGCTGCAGACAGTGAGCCTCCTTCAGCGTGAACAGCATGGCACCGGAGGGCACGGCTGCCAAGCCACGTGGTGTGAAGACTCACAGCCAGCCCATGCCCTCGCCTCTCCTGCTAGCTTATCATCAAAGGCAGCAGTGATCACACCTATCCAGGACAGAAAGTCCCTGCAGAGGCAGATTCACGGCGGCTCAGCCAGCTGCGGTGGGTGATACCTCCGCACCTGAACGGCAGGGCTTGCTTTTCTCCCTCCAGAGGTGCTCCCAGGAGCTCAGAGCAGCTGGGGAAGCAGCCAAGCCCCGCTGCTCCGTGATCCCACACAACCGGTGTCCGGAAAAGACAGAGCACAGGCTGAACAGTCCTCAGCATCACAGGAGGAGAGGCAGCGAGACAAGCAGAGCCGCCTTCACCCTTGGAGCTGCGATCGACGGGGAACCTGCTCAGGGAACACTTGCAGGAAGCAAAGGGGAGCTTCCTGCCCTGCTCCTGTCATGAGGATTTGGCTGAGCTCCTCAAGAAGAGCACGTGGGCACAGTGACCGGAGAACTCTACCAACCCCTCCACTTGGACAGCCAGCTGAGCAGCTTCCATCCTGTAGGAAAACCAGCCCCGGTTCTGCTTCTGGAATTTGCCCTGTCCTCTTCTCCCCCTACCCGCTGGCTGTGGGTCAGTGACTCGGGTGCCCCCCCAGGGCTCAGACGTGAGGCCAAGCTGGAGCACTCTACGTATCGACCCCGGGAAGGCTGCGGCCCGTTGGAGGGTGGTAAAGGGCTGCTGCAAGAGCACAGGGTCACTCACTTTCTGGTGACGGCGCTCAGCACCTGCAGCTGCGACTCCCGGTCTTCGTTTATGCCCACATAGACCAGCTTGTCAAACCTGTCAGCAGAGAGAAGAGACAGTCAAGACCGGGCCAAGACCAACCTGCCGCTGGTGCTCAGCCCTCTGCACCAGAAACAGAAGGCTGGCCCTGGGGAAGCTGCTCTTGCTGCCAAGCTCGTGGACGATACAAAGCTTGGGGGGGCGGGGTGGGGGGAAGCAGTCAATGTGCCGGAGGGCAGGGCTGCTCCTCAGAGGGACCGGGGCAAAGCTGGAGAAAGGGGCTGACAGAAGCCACCTGAGGTCCAGCAGATGCAAAGTCCTGCCCCGGGATGGGCAAGCTGCAGGCGTGAGGACAGGCTGGGGAGGGGGCAGCTCTGCAGAACAGGCCCCAGGGGGGACCAGTTCCTCCCGCCAGTTCGGTGCCCCAGCAGGTCCCTTACAGCCATAAGCACCGGCCTCCTCTTGGCTTCCCCTCCCCTCCACAGACCAGGGCCGGGGGGTTTTAGGAAGAGTCTCTGTGGAGGGACACACGGCAGCTCATCGCCGCCCAAGGAGCGCCGCAGAACGACGCTGGAGTGAGACAGGATAGGACGGGACATACCTGCCCGGCCGGAGCAGAGCTGGGTCCAGGAGGTCAGGCCTGTTCGTAGCTCCAATGACAAACACCTCTCTGGTGGAATGAAGGCCGTCAAGCTCAGCTAGGAGCTGTGAGACAACTCTGTAGGGAGCAAGACAGGATGCTCACGAGTAGACCTTGGCAAGCCACCCACTGGCACCCTCAGCCACCAAATGAAAAGAGGAGTGAGCGAGGCCACGGGCAGGTCCGTGTCTTGGACCAGCTCATATTTCACGTCCCTGGAAAGCCCTGACTCAGCCATCCAGACTTCCCTGTTTAAGCACAGCTCATTGTGGGGCTCATTGTGCTTGGCTGAAGAGTCCTTCAGGTCTGTGCTTGGCTCTGACCACTTCCAGCGTGGCCACACACGCTTATACTTGCTATCAGACTCTGGCAACACAGGCAGTGGCTCAGGTTCCTCACTCAGATGTGCTGGCTGGTCCCAAATCTCCCTGCTACGTGGCAGTGCCCAGCAAGTCCAGCTGCAAAACTGCCCTGTCAGTCCATGTCGGGGACGCTCTGGCAGGGCAGTGATGCTGCCAACCCATCCTCAGGGCAGAGAATGGCACAGGTCTGGCAGCACAGTACTTCGGTGCTGCCCAGGAGAACCAGACAGGGATATCTTCACCTGGTTCTGGGATCAGCTGAGGCAACTGCTGGACACCACCCCCAGCCCCTTCCAGAGCTGCTGGCTTGCGTGTGTGAAGATGGATGCCAGGGCCACATGGTGTCACTGGAAAACTCAGCAGAACCCCTCACGGATGGGGAGGAAGATTGGATGGGGACTATCAGCTCAGCAGAGAGGCCTGGGGAAAAATAACCCTGTTTCTGGGTATCTCCAAGCTGTACGTATTTTGCTTCTACCAGAGGCAGCTGAAAGGCTTCCCACCGCAGGGAAAGGGCAGCTAATAGGGGGAGAGCACAGCGGCGGTGTGAAGGATGACCTTGGAGAGGCCAAAGGGAGCAGTTGGCAGCCACAGAAGCAGCTGGAGGAGACTCTGTCTTAACCAAATGTTTGCACTACAAGCTTGGGCAATCAGGAATCTGTGGCAATGCAAACAGCGGTACTAATGTCCAGAGAGAGGAGACGGGCCATGCAGAGGAGCTGGAGGGAGCAGAGAGGGAAAAAGTAAAGAGAGGTGGAATGGCCTCTGCCTCGCAGGGTAATCCTGTGCATCCCCCCAGCTGAGGCGGGTACGCGGCTCTCCTGAGGACGCAGGATGCTCACTCACCTGTCCATGACACCCCCCGAATCTCCACTCCGCCCACGACTAGGGGCCAGGGAATCCAGTTCGTCGAAGAAGATGATGCAGGGAGCAGCTGCCCTGGCTCTGGCAAACACTGGGAGGAGACAGCACAAAAGGTGAGAAAGACCTTGGAGGAGCGGTCAACAGCACCGAGACCTGCTCCATCACCAGCAGGGAAGGAACCGTGGGTGGAAACCAGCCGCCCGCTGCCTCACCACCACCAGCTGCTCCTGCCCGAGGGGCTCAGTAGGAGCAGGGACAGGCAGCACCCAGCACGATGGGCCCCCAGGCTCGGCTGTGTCTCTGAGGGGCTGCTGCCCCACCAGAAACACCAGGGGCAAGAGCAACAGGAGCAGAGAGAGCAGGAGGAGAAGCTGCAGCAAGACAGGGAAGAGACCAGGGGTAGGAGACGGGTTCGTGCCGCGGCTGGCAGCTGTGGGTGGGAAGTTGGGAAGAGCGGTTTAAGCGCTACCCTCCTTCCCTCCAGCACCACAGAAAAGCCCCACCTTCCCACGTGCAGGGGCAGGATGCACCTCCTCACCATTACGCACGTTCTCCTCGCTTTGCCCAACGTACATGTTGATGAGCTCTGGCCCTTTCACGCTGTGGGGCAGGGAGAAGAGGGAGCCAGTGGGAGGATGCCCATCCACTGCCAGGAGAAAGTCAGTCCCATGGCATGACCCCCCCCCTGCCCCCCTCTCTTCACCTCAGGAACGTCATGGTGCATGTGGTTGCCACAGCTTTTGCCAGCAAGGTCTTCCCTGTCCCCGGAGGCCCGTACAACAGCAGACCAGAGCGGCACAGACCCAGTGACAGCAGCTCTGGGTGCTCCAGGGGCAACTGGATAGTGTCCAGGATCTCCTTCTTCACCTCCTGGAGCCCACCAATATCCTGCCAGGAGACAGAGGGGATCTGCCAAGAGAGGGAGAGTCCCTGTCAGCGCTTTTTCCTGAGCTCCGAGCGTGCCTGGGCAGCTCTTGCTCCCATGGGGGTACAAGTCATCAGCCCCTTGTGCTGCCAGCTGTGTCTGGCTATGGCAGCAAGTCAGCCCCACGCTGCACTGCCCAGCCATCCCGGCTGTGGGATCCCCCTGCACCCACATTTCTGCCTTCCTGAGCTTTGCAAGGGGGAAAAACAAACTGCCCGTGTCCCCGGGCAAGCTGCGCTCACGGCGTGCTGCCTCGTCTCCAATCCTCCATTGCACCTCCCATCACCCGTCAGCAAAAATATCCTGGGGAAAGTATCTGCCAGGGTTGCCTCCAGGTTCGGGGGGAGCGAGCCCTGCTGCAGACAGCCCTTGGGACACAAGGGAAGGCAAAAGTAAGAAAAGAAAAAAATAAAACCACGACACCAGAGCTACTTGTGTTCAGAGCACCTTGTCCCCCAGGGTGGTGAGACTGTGCAAGGGCAACAGAGCAACAAAACCTGGGCTGCTAGGACCTCTGTCGTGTGAAGGAGGATGTGAGCAACAAACAGCCATCCTGGAGGACAACGTACAGAAAACTAGCTGCTTTTGAGAGGGAGGATGCAAAAACAAAGTCCGTGGATGCTTACAAGAAATAGACAGGGATGGGGTCAACCGCAAACTCGCAAGGGATCATTGCAACGAGAGGAGAGACAGAAAAGTTGAGAGGGCTGAGCCATGCCACTTTTGCTGGTTTATGCTGAGCTAAACAATCTTGGAGGAGGATGCTGCTCAGCTCACAGCTTTAGAAATGGCAGGAATGCCAGCGTCTGCATGATAGATCCCTGAGAGTCAGAGCAGCTCTCCTGGGAATGCGCAGAGAAAGCAAAGCCCCAAATCGCTTCCCCCCAGCTGCTGGCTGGGTGGGGAACAGGTGCCAGCACAAACGAGGAGTTTAAAAATAGGCGAGAACAAAATTCTTTCCCCCTCAGCCAGTTTGGCTCTCCTTCCTTGCTACTTGAGATGATGTTATCTCGCTATTTCTCCAGCTGTCCAGCAGGTCCACCAGGAAAATCAGGTCAGACAAGATAAGGATTTCCAGAAAAAAAAAAAAAAAAAAAAAAATCTTTTCAAGCAAAAGTTCACAGGCCCTCCTTCTTCAGTGCTGATGAATGGAAGAGCTGCCCTCTCCCTGCACTCCTGCTTACACTGCCTCACTAGAAAAACCTCTACAGACATTAGTACAGGAGATGGAAAACTGCAGTAAGGTTGTTCTCAGGGGAGAACACTGTAAGTCTAGGACATGTTGCAGACACTGCTAGCAACCAGAGGTTTGAAATTAGTTCTCTCTAGGAGGCTCAGGCTGTAACTGCAAACAAATCTGTGACTAACGAGAAAATGCAAGCAGGAAATTAGAAGTTATGTATGTTGAGAGTATCCAGGTCTGCTAACGGGCTTTCTGAACCGCAGCCAACTACTAAGAAATTGATAAAGGATTGTAAAATACAAACAAAAGCAGCTCCCATTCACACAGCTCGCTGATGGGCATGCTCTGTGGTTATTACTTTTACAGCGAACTTGGCAAACGCCTCAAAGCAGAGCTCATTTCAGCCTCTAGTAAATTTATGAACGAATTAAGTCCCGGAGTAGCTCCTGGCTGATGACACCAGCAAGGTGTCATCCTGCTAGGGCAGGACTGCAAGTGGGTAGTTGGGGAAGGTGCCAGAGTAACTGCTCCAAGGCCAACATTTCCTGTCCTGTGCTGAGCTGTCATTCGCACTCGAGGGCACGGAGAAGAGGTTCTGATCACTTTGCTTGGCCCTCACACCACACAACCCAGCAAGAACAGTCACCACAAATGCTGTTTCCATGGGTGCTGAGCTGCCAGAGGCAGATCACACCCCTCCTGAGAAGCGGACTCTGCTGGTTTTCTTCTGACACCCCACGTCCCCTTTCCCTGAGGAACCCCCAAGCTCTGCAAACTGCCTGGCTGTCAGAAAAGCCCGTGCCAGCTCAAGCAGCGTCCAAGGCCAGGGATCAAGCATAAGGGCTTCTCACACGTGGGGGGAAACTCCCTTACCAGCTTGTGCCCCAGCCTCTCTGTTCCCACATGCCAGGTGGCTGGGGAGACCTCAGCAAAGCAGCCAGCCCGCAGTTGCCTCTGCCTCTCGAAAGGCTGAGTTACACAGCCGGCACCCCTACGGCACTAGCCAGTCGAGCAGTCTGCAGTTCAGAGCTGCAAGAGCTTCCCTGACAAAATTCAAAGCCAAGAGGATGAAAAGCACTAGTGGGGGAAAGCCCACAGAGGGACTGAGGGAATACGTGGAAGGACAGAGCAGGATTCGACGTGCCAGCGCGCAGCCTCGTCTGGTGAGGTCTGTCAGGGGTGTTTTGAGCCATGCAGCTCTGGAGAACCAGCCCCCCTTCCTCGGGCCCAGCCTCCTACCTTCGGGGCTCCCACGGCCTGCGAATGGGCATCATGCAGCTGGTCCAGCGCAACGCTAAAATCCTCCTCGAGCACTGGGAAGCCAGCAGTGCAAAAATCTCTCTCCACGTCCTCGCTCAGTCCGCCTGGAAAACTGGCGAGGAAAAAGAAGGGAAGGACTCGGGCTCTGCCCCACTCCTGGCACCGTCAGGCTGGCCCCAGCCCCTGCCTTCCCCTGCCTCCTGCCCTGCTGCCCGTGCTACCTCAAGGCCTGGATGCGGGTACAAGCAGCCCGGCTGCTGTGGGACAACAAGGCACAGAAATCGCCCAGCACAAAACCCTGTGAATGCAGAAACAAACGGCATCAGTTCAGCCTCTGACCTATATCTGCAGCTAGGCCAGAAATGGTATACGGGAAAAAATTCTTAGCAGAGCTGTTTGAGCTTCTGTGCCCTGGTTAAAAGCTGTTTTTTTGGGTTTGTTTTTTTTTTTTTTTCTGTTGGCTCTCTAGCCCAGCGGAGCATCAGCCAACACCTCTGCAAAAGGTGTGCAGTCCTCAGGCCCTGGAAATCTGCAGCTGAGGCTGCTGTCTGAGAACCAGGGTTAACCACTGAAGAAGTGGACTGGGCTGTAGGGATTGCTCCCTTTCTCCATGGCCAGGGTTTGGAGGTTGGGCCAGTGCTCCCGGCCGGTCCCTCTCCACATGCTGCTCCGGTTTCACTCACTGCAGTCCTGCGGGCCAGCTTGGATAGGCTCACTTCTTTGCCCAGAGGCAGACTGGCAGTCAGCATGCTCAGCATTGACTTCCTCTGCTCTTCTGAAAGGGCTTCGATTTTCACCTCGTGGAGGAAAGCCGTCTGCACATCTGCAGGAATATCCTGGGGCTTGCAGGTTGTACCGATCACCAGGACAGGGTGGCTGCTGAAAAAAAAAAAAAGAGGGGCAGCATGTGGTCTCAGCATCCTGAAAGGTTCCCTCTTACCATGCCATCACATACGCCAAGTTGCTCTCCAATTAGCCTTTCCTCTGAGAAACGCGCACGTATGGGCCAAGGCGTCTCGCAACCGCTCTCCTCTGGCTTGTTCCTGACCTGCTCTGTGAGCTCTGTCTCCAAGTCAAAGCCCTTTAAGCAGCATCTTATTTCTTCACTTGTTGTCTCCCCCCCAGCACCCTGGTACTTGTCATCAGCCCCAAGATCCTCCCAAGGTCCAGCTCCCTTCCAGGGTCCCTGCAACCCTTGGCATGTCTCACAGCAAACATGCTGGGCTCGCTCAGCTGAGCCACTCAGAAACCAGCTTCAGACAACGGGAGCTTCCCGACTCCCCCTCCCACTCAGCGGGACGAACTAGGGCCCTCTGAAGTACACAAAGCAAGTCTGGGAAAGACTCCACCTGATTAAAACAGGGCACGTTAGCAATCTGTCACCTTGATGTAACAGCGACTGCTGCCCTAGGGATGGCAGAAGCAGACAGTCACCTCAGAAGCCAACAGCAAACATGCAAGGTCCCTACCTCGGCGCTGGGTCTCTGTCCAGGAGCAGCTGTCTCAGAGTGGCGATGACCCTGGCATCCTCTCCCAGCCTGTCCCGGTCTCTGCCAAGAACCTCAATGTCTTTCAGCAGGAGCACACACGGACGATACTGCTGGGCCTGGGTGAAAGCCATCTGCACTTTCTCCTCTGTGGCTCCACTGGTGTCACTGCACAAACTAACGCAATCGACCTGTGAGACAGACCACACAACACCACGGTCGGCGGCAGTTGCAAGAGGGACAGCTGGGGGACCCGGGACGACGTTCACTTCCACAGGCAATTCACAGCTGAAAGGAGATCGAAGTGGGTGCTTCCCAGAGACACATTCGGGACCTATTAAAAACTGACGCATTCAGGACACTCTGGCATGGAGAAACGCCTGTTTCTTGCTTCTCGGTGGGAGGTGAGGGGGGCAGGAGGGTCTAGTCTGAAAAAGGCGAGGCCAAGGGACTGGAAAAGTCGATAGAGTGGATGCCACAGCTCAGCAACCCGAGCTGGATGGGATGGGAGAACCGTGGAAAAGGCCAAGACAGGGAGAACAGGGTGTCTCGGAGGAACAGTTCAAAGGGCAGAGCAGGAGGCTCAGGAAACTGTTCAACCCAGTGCTGCACAGGCTCAAAGTGCAAGAGGAAGGTAGAAGGTAACGGGGGTGGGGGGGCCAGAAAGTTAGAGGTGGCTAGAGGCCCAGACACTGTTTACAAAGCAAACACTTGATGAAGTCATCCAAAAGGGAGAGGTGACCGCTGAGCCTTGAACAGCGGTTTGAACGCTGCTGGAAACAGGCAGTGCTGCCTCCTGGTGCTGCGAGGTCACGCTGGGAGAGCCAAACCCTCTCTGGGATTCCCGGGGCCTCCTGCCTGGAAAGGGTAGCTTGGAGAAGGGAGAACGCCTCGAGAGCTGACATAAAGGGTAAAGATGGGGGTGCAGAGCAGAGGAGCTCCTGGGCGCCGTGTACTATAGAGAAAAACAGGAGTTAGGGTTGTGGCAGGCACAGCCGAATAACAGCAGTATCTGTGTGCAAGTACAGAAGGCCAGAAAGGACAAAAAAAACCTGCTGATTGTCAAGTGGTGGAGGTTACAGTGTGGAGGAATTAGTGTCCTGGTAGGAGAGCAGGCAGAACAGTCAGAGGAAGGGAAGGTAGAAGGGTAGCATAAGCATTGCAGGAAATGAGAAAAGAAGGGGAGAACGTAAAAGCTGTGGTAGAAGAGTAAGATGGACAGCAGATACCTCTGTCTTCACTAGCATTAGTCTTTAAAAACAGCACACAAGGCCAAAACCAGAGCCTTGCACATCACACGGGAACCTGAGGCCACCTGCCAGGACACAGCCTACGCATGGATCTGAAGGTACTGTGGAGTCTCCGCAATCTTGCACTGGATCCCAAGAGCTATAACAGGCCTGCAGAAGAGTAAGAGCTCAGCGCCACTAAGGATCGTGTCCAGAAGTTGAGCTGCACAGCAGCTGGCCAAGGCTGCAGCTACACTGACCCACTGTTATGACTTTACTTGGGTAGAAAAGAACAGTTAAAGAGAGTAATGTCAACCGAACAGGATCCAGCTTCTAAGTAGAAGAAAAAAACCCAAACATCCAAAACGCTGAGCTTGTTTTCTGAGAGTTTACTCAAAAAATATCCACAAGAAAGGAGAAAGCCTATGTTTTCCTCCCACAAAAAGGAGCCTTCCAGCTCTCTTCTTTCCATCTTTCTTCTTCTTTCAAGTCCTTTCAGAACTTCAGAGACTCCTGGAAAAGTCACCATGTGACTTCCAATCCCCACACTTTTGCAAACATAACCCTACAGATTCAAGGAGAGCAGAGAACTTGTGGGACACACCCAGACTGCCAGTGAACAAAAGGAGGGTGCAGAAGGAAAACGGTATTTTCAACAAATCAGTGAAGACTGCCTTGGTGCCCAGAACCTCCAGTGCTGGACAGAGACAGAGGCTAGACCTCATTTTGGCCACGAAGCTTACCCAGGACAGCCGCAGCTGTGAGAACACAGAAATGGCTGTACTGGTTCAGATCAAGAGTCCATTTAGCCCGCTATTTTGTCTTCAAGCACAACCACACGTGGCTGCTGAAGAAAGAGTAAGATCAGGGTAAGCACATATAACCCCTCCGCCTCGCTACTCTTCCAGGTACCTACCATTCCCACCGAAAGGGATCTTCCCACTCAGATGGGGCTTCATGACAGTAGAATTCTCCTCCAATACAAAGAACCAGCTCCTTCAGCTTGCCTGTTCCCACTACCCTCACCTGTCAGCCCCAGACCTCATGCTAGCACAGAGAAAACCAAACACTTTCTGCTCTCTGCTGACCGCTCAAGATCTTGTAAACCTCTACCACACTCTCCCCAAGTTCTCTATTTTTTGAGCCGAAGAGCCTGCTCAGCTGCTCCCCACACAGAAACTGCTCTAGACCCCTGATCTTCCCCAGTGTCCTCCTCTGAATTTTTCCAGTTCAGCTTCATGCTTTTGCGATGGGGAGATCGGAACTGCGCACGCTATTCAAGCTGCGCCAAGACACGGACCTGCACAGCAGCAGCACCTACTCTCGAGTTTGCTTCCTAAGATATGATCTGCCTTTTGACATACATGGAGAACAGAGCCCAAGTTTTCATGGAGCCACTGACATAAAATCAAATTATTGATACAGACGGGTGACAGTCAGCTTGAAATTTATAATTTTCCACGTAAAACAAACTACAGTGAATTTTACCTGCCGTTTCACTGCTCAGTCAGTTGGTCTCACTTAAAGCTCTCCTCTGGTCCAAGGAGAGTCTGTCTCCCTTGTTTCTTACCTTAAATAACTTAGCTATCAACAAACGATCACATCACCGCTCACACCTTTCCCAGGTCATCTCCGAGTTCCCAGTGCAGAGGCCCGCAGAGCTCTGCTGCTGACTGTGAAGACTCACCAACTACTCCCACCCCGTTCCCAACCCTCAACCAGCACTCCATCCATGCCAGGACCTTCACACACATCCCACTGCCACTCAGTTTCCCCAACGAGCCTTTCCAAAATCCAAGTAGCCTGTGTTGGTCAAGTTACCTTCCCCAGACGCTTGGCGACACCTTCCAGTGACTCTCTGAAGGTTTACAGGACAGGACTTCCCATTGCAAGAGCTACGTGGACCCTTCAGGAGTTGGGAAGTCATCCCAGAGCATGCTAACTCTGTCCTTCACTCTGACCTGCTGCAGGTTTGTTCCTCCTGAAGAAGGCCTCTCGTCCTCAGCAACTGCCCTTTCCCTGCTCTTCATCTGTCTTGTCTTCCCTTCACTTTTCTGAAGCCCGTCCCAACACGATCCACGCAGCGGCCTCGTGTTGTGACGCCGTGTCCCTCATTCACCTCCGCAGCGGACGGAACGCTTCCTTATCTTGGCTGATGCTTTCTTTCTAAAGAAACCTCATTTCGGTGATGTTCCTCTTTCAAAAGCCAAGCACCGCTGCAGAAGATCTGGGGACTTTTTTTGCTTTTGTCGGGGGGTGAATGCAAACACGGTTACAGAGCAGCCCTTCTACAGGCCGCGAGATTTTGAACCAGATCTGGCACACGTGCTGTTAGCAAACCAAGGGCTGCATTTCTCTTCTAGGCTTCCCACCCAGCTAGAGAAGATCCCAGCGTCATCTCTGCCTTGCTTTCCAACATGCCTTTTGCCCAATCTACGCGGGGACAATCGAAAACACGCAATGCCACTGCAATTCCTGCCCTCAACACCTCTCCAATTTCTCTCAGTGTATTTTAGTTACCTCTGAGGCACACTGTCAACTCAAAGCGCTGTAAAACGATAGGAAGTTAGTCTGCTGAAACATAGCTCTGTATTGCAGTATCCGTGAAGCACATCAGACTGACAGTAATGACAAGAGTCAAGAAAGAAAGGTGCAAAGGCACCCCTGGGCCAAGAGATCTCTACATCACCGATTCCGGGGCATTGGAGGGTACACGCCAAAGGGAACTGGAAGCTCTCTTCCTGAGCATCTGTTACTGGCTGGTCTCAGACACGGGCCAGGGGGCTAGATGGACCTTTAGGCTGATCCAAATGGTTGCTCTGCAGTTCTGCCCACCAGCAGTCAACCTGTTCCAGAGCAAGCTGCTATGCTCAGCGTGCTCGGACCCCTTTGGTCTGCCTGTGCACACGGGAGCAGCGTCTGGGGAGGCTGATGTCACAGCTGCAGCAAGGGTGTTGGTATGGCCAGCTTCAAGGACATTCCCATAACTCTCAGTATGTTGTAAATCCACCAATCAACTGACCACGGGAGGAATTACCTTGAAGAGGTGGAGGTTGAGGCGGCTACACACAGCTCTGACAGCCATCAGTTTCCCACTGCCGCTTGGCCCTGAGAGGAGAACGCTGCCGGCCCCGCTCAGCGCACTTGCCCTGCAACACACAGGCAGTTCTCCCAGTGACCAGGGTCTCACCTCTCCCGGGGCTTGCTAGAAGGAATTCTAACTCACCGACTGTCCAGGTGAGGCCGAAGAGCATCACAGAGCTGCTTCACAACATCAGAAAGTCCAGCAGGAGACAAACTGCTCCAGAACTCGTGGCTGTTATAGGCTGGGGCGGATGGGACAGCACTGTTTGTTGTACCTACCTGTGAGGAAGGGAAAAGGGCACCCTGTGGAACACCACCTGAGAAAAGACAGGTACCAAGCAAGTGACAAAGCCTGTCCTGAAATGCCATTTTTCAGTGGCAGGAGACACAAGTCTCCACAGGCACCTTCGCCATCCGTAATGCAACCTCAGCCTCAGATCTCCTGTAAACTCTCCCTGCCCTCCGCTGACATCTTACCAGATAGAGAGAGGTGTTCTGGGTGTCCACCAGGTAACCCTCGGACTGCTCGCCTTCCACCGTGCCTAAAATCTTCCTCACTTTGAAATAAAGCTCCGGCCACCTAAGGGAAAAAAACAAGCGGTTTAAACTTCTGAGACAAGATCTCAAAGGCAAGAACAATACAGTTGTTTGCAAGAAGGCAGCTGAAAGGCACAGGTAAGCAGAGATGCTCTTGCCCTCTCCCAGGACCCACGTGGATCCTTGAAGGACCCCGCTGTGCTCTCTGGCCAGACAGACCACCGGGACTGTCAACAGTTACAGCTTCTGCTGGTGGCTTCAGTCCACAAGTCCGAGCGTGCTGACCTTATTTCATCTAAGAGCTCAGGACAGTCTCTTTACTGCCATGGCTTCCTTCACTACAACTCCGCAGAGATTCACCTGCACCGTATAAAATCTTACAGTGCAGAGTCCTCTCGGCTGCAGACTAGGATCACCCAAATACCACGAGAGCCTTACAAGTATCCTGCCCTGGACACCTCACAGGAAAAACGGTTCTTTCTACACTGATATCCCACTGGACAGATTAAGGAATCTGCAGAGGTTTCCTCCAGGATTTTCTCCGCCCTCTGAATAACTGTACCACTTGCACACCGATACAGTTCCGAGCTCTTCAGGTCCCATGAAATCTGCTGTCTTCTCTGGCTTGCCACATGGCTAATGCATAATGGAAACTTCACAAAGGGAAGATTTGCGCCTGCTATGGCCCTGCCTCCCTCTGAGAAACAGCCTAGAAAACACTCGGTGTCGCAGTTCTAGAAAACTGACATTTTGAAATACATAGCAGAGCTGAGCGGCGTTACAGCGTGGTGCTGGTATGTCCTGCATGAACAATTCAAGGCAATTCTTCAGATCCCACGTCTCAGCTACCTGTGGTGGTTCCCTCAGTGACACAGTTGAAGGGTTTATATTAACACCAGCCAGATCCCAGCGCAAGCACCCCATCTCTGATACAGAGGTGACTTTCCCTCATTCAGCACGGAACGGTTTCAAAGCCATATGAGGAAAACCAAGAAAGGCAGAATTCGTGGCCAAGCAGATTATTATTCTAACACCTTATGACCTGTAAGGGCTCATATTGACACGTTGCTGTCTGTCACAGGCTGACAAACCCAATTTCCACTCTGCTTTGTTTATGTGGCACTGGCTGTCCTCAGGCCACCCCTTCCTCATCTTCGTTCTTTTTCCCAATCAGTTTCTCTCTTTTCCCTTTCTTCCCTCTATAAGTATCTGGGTGAGCTAAGGGAGGCCTCCCTCTTAGCTGCAGCCCTCCATAATCCAAGAAAACCATTTCCCCTTTTCTCCCTAAAATAAGAGGCAGATAAACTCTAAACTCCAGGGGCAGACCAGAATGGAATAAACTGTCTTGTTCCAAGAGAGTCAACGGTGAAAAAGTATCTCTTCTTTTGCAGCACGCATGTAACAGAGCCAGCTTGTTGCCACCTACCTTAAGAATTTGTCTGCATTTGCTTCTAAAAAGTCGGCATATCCAAATGTTGGCACACATAAGATATCTCCCTCCTGGACAAGCCTGCAAAGACAAGCAGGGAGTTTCACCAGTGAACGAGAGTAAATCCTTCTGGTTGTGTGCCATCCCTGCCCCATATCACACGCGCTTTTACAGAAAATAATGTAGCTATTCATACCAACTCCTTCCTTTCCTGTAAATAAAACTTTAAATAGCCACTTAAAGATTTAGCATGCACTGGATATAAGTAGGAGCATCCAGGCTACTGGATGGAACCTTCTGGGAATGGCATAGAAGATGAATGCTATTAAAGAGCATCTCTTCCAGACAAAATAGCCTTCTTATTCCCGGGACAGCTGAGCGTAATTCCAACAGACAGCCTCAACAGCCAACTGAAAGAGGCTGAGGGGCAGGTGTCCTATGAGCAAATGGCAACACATCCACCTTCCCAACCACCCGATGCCATTTGAAGCTGAAGGCCGGGGTTACGAAGACGCGCCAGCGCGGAAGGCTGCGGGCAGCACTGAGGAGCCCTCAGCACGGGCTGGTGGATCACGAGGAAGGAGACTTGAAGATGACTTCCCAAGGACAGGGCGGCGAGGACGTTCTAAAACCGCTCGTGAAGGCACCCACCGCGCGCATCACATCGGGGTGCTGCCAGTGCAAAGGGCGGCGTGCCCCTCCGCGAACGGGAACGACGCGGAGGCTCACCGGGGCGTCTCGAAGTGCCGGTTGAGGATGCAGTCGTAGCCTCCCCGGGGGCTGTAGGTTGGCGAGGAGACCATCTCCAGGCGCAGCTCCTTGGCGAAGGGCGGCACGGCCAGCACGGACCGGCTGCCCTTCCCATCCGCGGAGCCGGTTCTTTCGTACCTCTGGGGAAACGGGGCGCACCGTCAGACCCCCCCCACACCCCCTGCATCCCACCCAGAGGGGGGGGGGGGTGCCCTGCTCACCCTCAGGCAGAGTTGCGCGGCGGCGGCGGGGTCGCAGCCCAAGTTGAAGGCCAAGGCGGGGGTCAGCACCGCGGCCCCGTCGTGGGGGGACCGGCGGGCGGCCCGCGGGTATTCCCAGGGCGGGGGGCGGGCCAGCAAAGCCGCCAAATGCTGGCGGGCCGCCCCTTCCGCCCCCACCCGCACCCACTCCCCTTGGAAAAGCCCCAGCGCTAGCAAACCCCGCCGGCTCACCCACACCTCCGCCCCGCCGCCCCCCCCCGCCGCGCCGCTCCCGGGGGCCGCCCGCAACCGCGTCCCGCCCCCTCCGCCGCCTCTCCCGGTGGTAGCGGCGAAGCGGGAGACGAGGGGCGGGGCGGCGGGGCGCCGGCAGGGGGCGCCAGCGGCGGGCGGCGGGGGCGGAGCCAGCGCGGTGCGCGTGCCGTTGCCCAGCAACCCCTGGAGCGCCGGCCGGGCCTCCAGCACCACCGGCCCCGGCCCAGGCCCCGGTAACGCTTCTCCCCGCCGCACCAACACCGCCCCTCCCGCCGGCTTCCCGCCGCGCCCCGCCGCTCCCAACAGCACCCAGCCCAGCGCCGGCGGGCGGCGAACCGGCCACACGGCCACCCGCCGGCCTGCCGACAGCCCCAAGCGCCGCAGCGTCGCGCCCCGCAGAAACAGCTCGGCGCCCCGCCGCCCCCCACCACCACCACCACCCCCCGCCTCGGCCTCCAGCGCCACGGCGCTCAGCAGCACCGCCTGCGCCCCGCCGCGCCCCGCCGGCCTCACCGCCAGCACCAAGCCGCCGCCCCGCCCGCGCAGCGCCGCGCACAGCCCCGGCGGGGCCAGCAGCAGCGCGGTAACCGGCGCCAGCTCCGCCGGCGGCGCGTCCAGCGGCCTCAACACCGCCACCGCCATAGAGCCGGGACCACAGATACCTGCGCGGCTAGAGAGGCGCCGCGACGCGCAGGCGCAGCAGCCCCCCGCCCAGGACAGCGAGGTGGCGGCGCAGAGCGGCCACTGCCGCGCCTCCCCCGCGGTCCGCCGAGGCGGCGGTGAGCCGAGGAGCGAGCGACAAAAACAAAACAAAACCAAACCCTTTGTGGGATTCTTTAATTCCAGGTCCAGACACCCCTGCGGGTCACCCCACGGGCGAGCGGGGGTCTGTGGGGCTGAGGGAAGGAGTGAGGCTTCGGGTTGCATCACTGTGGCCCCGCCGCCCAGCTCCGCACGGGGGAGCGCAGCCTCCGATCCCATAAAAACCCAGATGTGCCAAAATAATCTAATTTTATTCCCTTTTCCCATTCCCGGGCCTTTCTTCCATGGTTGGTTTAGCAGATCTCTTAAGTCCTGAGGCCTGAACCAAAGCTGACCTTTAGATGAATCACAATATTCTACTAATTGTAGGGAGTATCAGCCACGTGTATAATGTACCACTAGTACCTCTTAGTATATTTATCTATAGAAGCTCTGTTGCAATTTCATTATATAACAACAGCCGATCAACTCATCTATCTTTATTTAGAGGCATGAGGTGAGGCCAGACACCAGACCCTGTTGTGAAATAGGTGGGTTTGGCCCCTTTTTGCAGCGTCGTCAGACATCAGACCCTGTTGAGAAATACGTGGTTAAAGCCCAAACAGATACACATGCCCCACCTTGGGTTCCTCCTTAAGCCCTGGCCAGGATTTTGGGTGAAACCCAACAGGGAAGGGACACCAGACATTTCCACACTCAAAGTTTGAAACCAGCTTATCCAACGCTGTAAAAGCCGGACCCTTTTGCAGCGGCTTTGGAGACCTCACCTGCGAGCGGACGCACGGCGTAGGACCTCCTAGTTGCCAGGAGAGGTTCTCCCAAATCCTCACTGGCTGCTGGGTCTCACATTGGCAACCCCGCTGCAGCAGCGGAGATGTGCACGCGTGGAAGCCATTGCCTTAAATCAGGGTGTCGTCATCTGAGCTCAGAGGGCAACCGGGCACCACGCAGCTGCTCACTCCTCCCTTCCCCCCCAGTGATGAGAAGGCGAAAAATAAGCCAGGCTGCCGGGCTTGGGATTTGAGATAGGACAGGGAGGGGCAAATCACCCATTATGGTCATGGGCAAAAGGCAGGCTCGTTAGGGGAAGAAAAAAAGGACATAGATTTATTACAGACACTAACAACACGTAACAGAGTAGGACAGTGAGAAGCATTGCCACATCTTGAGAACACCTTCCCCCCACCCCTCCCTTCTTCCCGGGCTCAGCTCTGCTCCCCATATCTCTACCTCCTCCCCCAGGGGCGCAGGGGCAGGGAATGGGGGGTGCAGGCAGTGCTGCCACTTTCTTCATCTTCGGTGAGGGGAGTGTCCGAAACTTGTTCCCCCCCTGCTCCATCGTGGTCCCCCTCTCACAGCAGACAGTCCTCCACAAACTTTCTCCAACGTGAGTCCCTCCCACGGGCCGCAGCGTTCCCCACATTGCTCCGTCGTGGGTCACTAACTTCCTCCGACTGGATTCCCTCCCACGGCTGCAGCCCTTCCCGAGCTGCCTCGGCGTGGGACACCCCCGCATGCTGCAATCCTCCCAGTGCTGAATTACAGCAGCGGGGGCTGCTTCTTCCCAAAAGGCCCCGGCCTCCTTTAGTTACAATCACCTTGATCAACCAGGCAAAGCCCCTCCCAGGCCATAAATCAGTGTCTGCTCCACCATAGATCTCCACGGGTGGCAGGGGGAGCCACCCTGCCATCTCCCCACAGGATACAGGGGGGTCTCTGCTCCGGCACACCTCCCCCCTCCTTCCTTCCTCCATTCCCCCACTGACCTTGGTGTTCACGCAGCTGCAGCAACTCCTCCTCACGAGTCCCACTGCTCCTCACCACGTCCCTTCTTAAATACGTTATTGGTGCAGAGGTGGGGCTGACTTGGAGCCAGGGGAGCTTCGAGAAGCTTCTCATAGTGAGGCAACGCTGTAGCCCCCCCTCCCCTGCCACCAAAACCAAACCCCACCACTCGCTCAAACCCAGGACAGGGTTTCTTCCATCACGCCGTCATGACCGGCCCTGGCCTGAACTGGCAGTGGCGGGAGCCGTGGCTGGGTTTGGCTACCACTAATCTCGGGATCAATCAAATCTGAGGCAACGAGAAGAATGTGCTACCCTCCTACTGCCGCTCGAACCGCAGCAGCCTCCGGAGCTGTGAGCCCCCCGGGCTCCCTCAGGAGAGTTGTCCTCACCCCGCATGGGGCCGGGGCTGCGGCGTTTCCCCCCGGGCAGCACTTGCGCCGGTGACGTGCTGGCTCTTGCGGCGCTGCACCCAGCCCAAGGCGAAGAGCCAGGCCATCTGCATGCAAAAAAATTGCAGGCATCCAGTGCCAGCACGGCACGGCCCAAATAACAGGTTTGCAGATGCTGCTCAGGCAGGATTAGGCCTCCAATGTGCTAAGTCTCGGCTCTCAGCGAGCCTAATTGCTGCTGCAATAAGCCCTGGCTGCTCCTTCCCTGAACCGAGCTTCCCATGCCCCCCCAGCTTCCCGTCAATTTTTTTTTTTTTTTGCTGCAAAGCTTGGATCTGTCATGCATTTGTTCCGTGCCGCCAAGCAGAGGAGGGGAAAGGTGCAGACTCCACTTTTATTGCTCCGCTCTTCTTCCCCAGCCCGGCACGGCCAGGCCCAGCAGCAGAGGCAGGGGCAGGTGACGGCATCGTTACACGGCCACACAACCCCCTGAGCTGTATTAGGAAACTTTCCAAATTAGAATTACTCAGATTTTAATAAAAACCTTTTTGATAACGTTCTGTTACAGTATGGCCAGCGGATGAAACTGGAGGTGGTCCAGGAGAGGAGGGGCACCTTTCCTGCCATCAGGGCAGCAGGCGTTTCGGTGAAGAACCTCACAGTTGAGCGGCATCAAGGAGGATTTTCAACAAGCCTTGGGAGAACGGAGCAACTTGCTCCCCAGGACTCCCCTCAGGAATTGGCTGAGGGCTCTGTTTCAGATATCCTAACCCATCAGCCGCTGTTTTGGCGCCTTGACTGGCACAAATCCATCACCTTCTGGCACGTGTAGGCCACTGGACTAGACCTCAGTTCTGGGGGGCTCGTGAGGGCTTTGCTTGGACCCCCCGGGACCAGCCCCGGTGCCTCAGCGGAGTGCCTCAGCCCAGTTCGGGGACAAAATCTGCAGAGGATCTGCTCAAAACTAACAAGTGCCACAAGATGCGCCGGAGGAAGGTACAAATCGCAATGCGGAGCATGAGAACCAAAGATACACCACAATTTTATTTATGGACGTGTAATAAATAAACGGTGGACAAAACAGGAAGAACCACATTCCAAAATCCAGATCTCTAAAGTGCTTTTAGATACAAATATAGGACAACCAAGAAACAGCTCTGACATTCACAGTTTTTACAGACAAATACAGAACATCTTCTTATGTCAATTCACAAAATGGTTTAATTGCTCCAGGGTACTATGGCTTGTTTTTCAAAAAAGTCTGTTCTATTATGCATAGTGTGGCAGGTAACATTCAAGAGTGTACAAAATAATTGCTTAAACCAAAAATGTCTTTACCCCCTTCTCCCACATACGAGTTAAGGAAGCTACACAGTGTAAATCCAGTGGTAAGGCTGCGTTGGCAGGCCAGATCCTCAGCAGGTATAAACCAGCGCATCTGCCAGGTCCACACCAGGTTGAGGATGAACCCTACCGCGTTTAAAAACCCCGCTGCTCCTCAGGGTGGGAGAATTGTGTGCTCAGCGTGGAGACCCTTGCCACACGGGTGCCGTGCAGGGCCGGGGGGAAGCGCTCGGAGAAGGCACCTGTAAACTCCCGCACCCCCACCCCGGCTGCGCTGAGAAGTGAACAGCTTGAAAGTGAAGGAGAAAAGGGGGGATGCGTGTGCCCGGTTTTAAAATGCCCGGAATTCGGATAAAAGTTCGATCGTTTAAGAAAAATACGTATCGATAAATGTTATTATCTCGCCGGGAAGCTGTGGGGCCTGGCCTCCTCCGGGGAGGAGCTCAGTGGTCACTGTCCTTCTGCTCCGTGGGGAGCCTCCCCGTTGATGCACTGCCTCAGAATGCCCCTCTTCTCGTGCTTGGCCGTCCTGGAGAGGTCGATGGCTGTGTCCTCCGCATCTTTGGCAGGGCCGAGCTTGTCGGAGCCCCTCTGGGAACTGGCCTGCTTCCCTTTGAGTGCCTCCTCCTCCTCCTGCTCCGCTCGCCAGCCATCTGCCAGCTTCTCTTGGCTCTCCGCCTTCCTGCTCACCTCCATGGACTTTTTGTGCATGCCTTGCAGAGGGGAGGAGGAGCAAAGCCAAGGGTGCTGGTGGCTTATTTCTGCCCAGGACCGGCCAGCATCACCTCCCGCCCTCTGCTACTTCCTTCAGCTCTTGCATCCCGAGGAAAACTCATGCTAGCGACCCCCTTTTCCCGACCCAGCGCCCCGCCACCTCCTCTCCGCAGCCCGAGCAGAATGGGGCCGTACCTCCCCTGCAGCGGGGAAGACTTAAAGGGAGAGGGGTGCTGCGACAGCCCATCCCAGCCTGGATTTCGAGTGCCACCTCAGCGTAGGACCACGTATGAGCAGAGGGTAGCTCTGAGGTAGCATTAACATTATCCTCAGCTTGCGGCGCAGGGTGACGGCTTTCCTAGGTGCTCTGTAACTCCCACGCTGGCTGCTAGCACCGGAAAGTGATACCCAACCGTGCCTGGGCCCGTCTGACACTGAGAGTAAAATGTTTTCCCTTCCCCAGCTCTTCCTTGCGAGGAGGGAGTGGAAAAGCCGGGGCGCTTGGCAGCCTGCGTACAGCTCACGGCTGAGGCCCCGGTCTTTTCTGGGAAAAGGCGAGGATGGCCATGCGAAAGAGGAAGGGCTCCGCAGCTGCCCCCCAGTCCCCCCCAGTGCCGAGCTCCCGCTTACCCAGCAGCCACGGGGCGCAGGATCCCACCAGCCCGCTCTTGGCAGAGTTGATGATGGACTCGGGCAGAGGGATGGAGTGCCTCACCATGGCCCCGTAGAGGCCGTACTCAGCCATCACGCTGCTCCGGCCCCAGCACTTCTCCCGCTTCCGCCACTTGGCTCTTCGGTTCTGAAACCAAACCTTCAGGGGTAACAGCCAGGAGAGCGTGGAGGGGTGGGCGGGATTGGGGAGGAGACGGCCTCCGCGCCCCCCCACCCCGCAGCCAGGCACCCGGGGGCCCGTTGGAGCGGAGGAGGGTGCGTGGAGGGGTTTGGGGTGCGGACACGCGGGCGGCAGCGGGAAGGGGGTTGAGGAAAAGCACACGTGGGTGTCGGTGAGGGAGGGGAGGAAGAGGAGGGGGAGAGGGAGTAGATGTTACACGGGGCTGATGGTGACCCTGGAGGGTGATCCCAGCCAAAAGCCACCTGCCCCCGGGGCCCCTCCGCCGCCTCCGCGTGGAGCACCAACCTCTCCGGAAAAAGGGGTCCGTAACGCAGTGACCGGTGGTGACGGTGGGTGCTCAGGTCCCTCTCCTCACCCCCTTCCTGCGTTTGGAAGCTCAAGGGGTGTAGATCAACCCGGCTACTGCCCAGGTCACCACCCTCACTCTTAAGCCAACGGACTGCTCCACAGAGGGGCAGGATCCGGCCCTAAAACGCCCACATGTCCCTCAGAGGGACAAGCTGGTGGGGCACAGCTTGGCCCAGCAGCTCCTCGGTCACCCTGTCCCCAGGGGATGGAGCCGAGGTGCCGGCAGCGAGCGGGGGTCAGGGCCAGCTCAGCCCTCCCCCCCCCCCAAGTTCTGCATCTCCACTGGGAGCCTGTTGGGTGCCGGGGGGGGGTCGGAAGCTGAGCCACCCAAGCGCCCTGCAGCATTTCCGTGCCACCGCGCTCCCACGGAGCAGAAGGGACAGCCGGGCGCCGGCAGCTCGGAGGCTCCACGGGAGGAGGAGCGGAGTGTGGCTGCTACCAACCTGTATCCTGTCCTCCGGCAGCTCCGTCTTCACCGCCAGCATCTCCCGGGCATAGACGTCGGGGTAGTGAGCATCGTTGAAAGCCTTCTCCAGTTCCTCCAGCTGGTGAGCTGTGAACACCGTCCTGCCGAGAGCAGAGAGCGTCCTGTGGCACAGCCCAGACCCTCACGGCAAGCAGCGGGGCTGGCAGCCCCCTCCCCGCTGAGGTTTTTCCTCCTGAAAATCCTCCCCCCCCCCCCCCCCCGCGCCTTCTCCAGCTGCAGCCCTTCTCTTTCTGCTCCCTTGGAGACATCCCCTGCCCCGGCCTGGGGACCGGAGGGACAGCGGGAGGCTGGTGGTTGGGAGCGAGGAGGTGCGAGCGGGTTCAGCCCCGCTCTCGGGCTCTACCTGTGCCGGCGTTTCTTCCTCTTCATCTGGGAGGTGGACATCCTCGGGTCGCTGGCGTCCCCGGACAGGCTGTCCTCATCTGGCAGCGGGAGGGGAAGAGTCACGTTCTTTTGGGGAGCGGGGGGGACGGACACCCCAAACCCAGCTCCCAAAACACGGCTCCAGCTGCCGGCGGGGAGCGGGGGGTTCCCCTGCCCCCAGCAAACCAGTGGCACCGGAGCCGGGGCCGAGGCCGGAGCCACCGCAACTGCTGCCAGCCCGGAGAGGGGCTTGGGGGGGGGCGGGTTCCCACCGTTGCCCGGGGATGGGGAGGGCGGGCCCGATCCTGGCCCCGGCGGGGGGTCCCCGTGCGCGGGTGGGCAGCTCCCCCCCCCCCCCCCCCCCTCCACTCCCCCCGTTCCCCACTCTCACCGGAGATGTTCTCTTTGTGGCGGCGGGCAGGGGGCGGCGGCCCGGGGGGGGGCCGGGGGCAGCGGGCAGGCAGCAGCGGCAGAGGGGCGGGCAACAAGCAAGGGGGTCCCGGCCCCCCCAAACCGCAGAGCAGCCCCAGCCCCAACCCTCCGCCCCCCTCGTAACCCGCGGCGGGAGCGGGAGCGGGGCCGGAGGGCGGCTGCAGCTCGGCCTCCAGCCCCAGCAGGTCGGTGATGGCGAAGCCCTTCGCCCGCAGCCCCGCACCCCCCGGCCGAGCCGCCGCCGCTCCGGTTGTCCCCGGTGCCGGTGCCGGTGCCCGTCCCGGCATCGCCGCCTCCTCCTCCTCCCGCCCCGGAGCGGGCACCTCCGCCCGCCGCCCTTTTTATCATCCCGCCGCCGACCCCGGCTCCAATCACACCCCGGCCCGGCGGCGGGGCGCTCCCAATCCCCGGGATTAACGGCCCCCCCGCACACCCCCCCACACCCCCCCTCCTCCCTCCGCTCCCTTTGGCCCCCGCCCCTCCGTCCTCCCCATCACCTTGCCGGGTGTCCCCCCCCCCCCCCAACTCCTCCCCCCGCTCCCAGCCGCCCTAACCCCCCCCCTTTACACCCCTCCCTGGGGCTTCTCCCAGGATCCCCCCCCCCCCCCCCCGCTGTGTCCCCACGTCCCCTCTTCCACATCCAGTGCCCCCCAGCACACCCAGTGGCCCTTCAGCGCCGCATCCCGGATGGGGGCATCCCTCTGCTCAGCACCCCTGGGGCTGGGGGGGGCAGCCCCCCCCACCCCGCAGGTGTCCTGCCACCAGGATCGGGGCCACCTCGAGGTGCCTGGCCTCCATGCTCCCTTTTTCTCCCAGATTCTCGCACCTGGGCGGGAATTTTTTTTTTCCCCCTTTTCCCTCATCTGTTGATGGAAACGATTTACAACCGGCTTACATGGGCCACCTGATCCGGGCCTTCGCCGGACGGTCAGATTAACGGAGGGTCCTTCTGATAAAGATAATTACAAGGGGACTCCGCATTAACTTTGCATTATTAAAGAAAGACCCAAATCTCCCCTCGCAAGCTGTTCCCGGGATTAGCAGAACAATAACTTTCATTTAGGATAATTGCCGTGTCCAGTGCTGGGGGCTGGGGGGGGGGACACACACACACACCCCCTCTGGGCCATCACGCTTCACACCAAGAAAGGCAAATGGGCAGGAGGGGAGCGAGAGGTGTGGGTGGGTGACACTCCCAAAGCCTGCCAACCGGGGGTCCCCCCTTGGGCACCTTCGCTTCTCCAGAGTGGTTTTGCCACAGTTTTGCTGGAATCACAGACTTTCACTGCTAGGCAGGGAGGATCTGCCGCAGTAATTAGAAGCCATAATCCAGCCACCACCCACAACAAATTTCCTGTCCGAGCAGATACTAGTGGATAAAGCCCTAATTTTTGACGTTGCCCCAGAATCAGCTTGATTTCAGCAGTTTGCATTTGGGCTGAGCTGTTGGGAGAGATGATGAAGCCTTAAATATGCATATGGCCTAGGCATTTGAAAGTTTGGGGATAAAGCGCATATAATTGCTCCTAATCAGTTTATGAAACATAAAAGCTCGAACCGAAGAGAAAGCCGATAGACACAGAAATGGAAATAGCGATTAAATCTCCCGGCGCGGGTGAGGCGGCCTGGATGGGGCACTGCTGCCCGGGGCAGCGGCGCGGGGGCCGGGGGACACACGCGCTGCCACCTCCCCCGGCTGAGGCAAAGAGGGGCTTCTCCACCAGTCCCCGTGGACCATAAATCGGTTAAAGGATATCTTGATATATGCTCATCAGCTAGGATTAGCTGGGATTAGACTAATCAGTAAATGTTTCTCCGCTCGTTATTTTCCAGGGAAGATTTTCAGCTGATTCTCCGACGCTGAAAGATTATTAATCGCTCAAAGAGCAGAATATCAAACGTCGCTCCTTGCTCTAATTTCCCCAGGGTTCACCCCACCACGGGGAGGGCGCCTGCTCCAGCCGGCCCGGCAGCCCTGGGGTGCCCCAGCACCCAGCCCCACGGCGAGGGCTCCAGCCAGGGCGGGTGGGGGGCCCCAGCACCCAGCACCCAGCACCGACGGGTGGCATCCGTATAGGACGGGGCAGGTGCCTGGGGCCGTCCCCGGCAGACGCCAGGGACAAACCTTGCAAGTCCTTGGGGGATTACAGACACACGCGACGTTTTGGCAGACCCTCCGCAGCCGGTGAGGGCTCCCAAGCCAGCGGCTGGTGGGTTTTGGGGGCCTGTATCTTTGCAGGGATGTAAAACTCGGGGAAACCCCAGAAGGGCATGCACTCACCTTGCAACCCCCTGCGGTAGCGGTGAGGAGCGGGGAGCAAGGAGAAGGTATTGGAGGGCCCTGGTTTAGGGGATTAGTAATGGGAAAAGACAGCTTTCACCTCCCTGGTTTAGATATGAATCAGGTCAATAATAAAGGACCATCTGACAGTTTCAGGCAGCCCAGGGTGGAAGAGGCTCCCGTGCTCCGGGCTGGATGGGGAACGCTCTCAGAAAGCCCGGCTCTTGCCGCACACCCGGTGCTCCTCGCCGGCTCCCTGCCAGGCATCCACGTCAGCTCCGGGCAGCCTGGCACGGGAGCAAGGTCGGAGCCCGGTCCCCAGGGATGATCTTGAAGCCACAGGCTGCAGGGCAAGCTCGGCTGGCTGGCTGGTGGCCGTGGTAGACCTTGCCCGGCTGGACGGGGAGCGCAGTGTAGCGGGGCAAACCAGCCAGCCGACGGCAACGCGGGCGATTTGGCGAGGAGCCTGGGGGGAAGGTCCCTGCCTCCATAAGCATGGGTAGAAGGAAAAGGGCTTTTCTTCCACCTCCTCCGTGTCCTGCTGCGAGCACGGGGAAGTGGTTGGCGTTGTGAAAAACAACACAGGGGTGGAAAGGAACTGAGAAACAGGCCATGGCGAGGGGAGAAGGCAGCAAAGGGAGGGGGGTGTTGCAGTGAGGCGTGTCGGTGTTTCACAGGGCTAAATCCCCGCCTCTGAGTTACAGGTAGGCTGCCTCCTTGTGATGGGGGCGGTGGGACTTTTCTCAGGCTGCAGCCAAGACCAAGTGGCAGGTTACGTGTGCTCCTGGCCAGTTATGGGTAGATATAGGGCCAATTACGCTCCATTTTGGGGTGATGGATTTGCAGGGACAGCTGGCACGACCGGGTTAAAGGAGTGGGGAAATCTGCGCTCCCGGCACTGCCAGGCGGCGGAAAGAGCTTTGTTTGTAGCTTGGGTTGATGTGGGTGAAGCACAGGGTTTGCGGGGTGAGCACAGCCACAGCTGGCCACGCGTGCCGCCCGCTCAGCGATGCGGCATCTCCAGCCAAGCTTACAAGCCCATCGGCAGCCCTGCTTTGCCACTGACGGGGATCCCTTCCCATGTCCCATTCCACATGCCCCAGCGTCATCCCCACTAATTCCTCCGCACGGATTTCTGCCTGAAGGCATTTGCCTTTGATTAAAACCAGAAGAGCAGTCACGGTTTAAGTGGAGTTTAAGAGCAAACCATGTGCCAGCGCACAGGGCTCTCACATCTGGGGTGCTGCAGATTTAATCAACCTGCTGGGAAGTGCCGCACACAGGGCAGCTGTCACAGCATCCTGGGGCCCATCTCCTAATTAATTCATAGCCAAAGACAGGGCGAACAAATGACCATCAAGGTGCTACCCCTGCAAGTGTGACCGGAGGCAGGAGTGGCAATCGGTGAGCAAGCAGGGCTCACCCTGTGTATCTCCAGGAGCTGTAGGTGATGTAGCCCATGGAAAGCCCCGTCCCTGCTTGTAGGGAGGAGATGGCTTTGTCCCAGAGGTGTAAATTTGGGACGATATTTGGTGATATTTGGGAACGTGAAGGACAGGGTGTTTGGGAAGAAACCTGGGTGGAGCAGGCACAACAGCCGTAGCTCTGATTTCTGGCTGCTTTTCGCTTCCACTCTGTTGTTATTTTCTAACCCCGTTCACCTGCCCATCTCACATCCCCATGGGCAACCCCCTCCTGCCCTGTACGGGTTGGCAGAGCAGGACACAGCCCGTCCGGGGGATGCTCTGCCAGGGCGGTACCCAGGGCCCGGGCAAAGTCCCTTTGCTTCCAGCAGAAGCAAAATCTGGGCAGTGGCAAAACAGGGCAGCTCCAGACTCGCTTTTCCTCGGTGCTCATTCACATTAGCTCATTAAAGCTAATTGAAATGACTACCAGACCTGGGTCTGGGGGGGGGGGTTGGAAGTCCTGGGCACACGGCACAGCTAGGCTGGGAATATCCAAGTGCGAGGAGCCCCAAACTAGCCGATGGACCGTCCTCTCCAATTAGCCCTACAAAAGAGCTATTATTCCTCCACACTATGCTCGTCCGATTATTGTAGCTTATTATTTTTTGACAATTCCTCCAAAATGTGCTAATGAAACAGAAATCATCAAGTCAGTTAGCGAAACACTCATTAAAGCAGAAAAGAAAAAAAAAATATATATCAGCAGAAGAAAAATGGCTGTGAGGCTCCCAGGCACACACAATAGCTGCCACATTCATTAAATGAGCATCTCCCAAAAGAGGGCTAGACATTCTCTGCTACACACTCTGGAAATTAAACTCCCCAAGCAATGGAGTCCCTCCCTTCCTTTCCTTTCCTTCCTTCCTTTCTTCCTTCCTTCCTTCCCTTCCCTTCCCTTCCCTTCCCTTCCCTTCCCTTCCCTTCCCTTCCCTTCCCTTCCCTCCCTTCCCTCCCTCCCTTCCCTCCCTTCCCTCCCTTCCCTTCCCTCCCTTCCCTCCCTCCCTTCCCTCCCTCCCTCCCTCCCTCCCTCCCTCCCTCCCTCCCTCCCTCCCTCCCCTCCCTCTCCTCCCTTCTTCCTTCCTTCCTCCTTCCTTCCTTCCTTCCTTCCTTCCTTCCTTCCTTCCTTCCTCCTTCCTTCTTCCTTCCTTCCTTCCTTCCTTCCTTCCTTCCTTCCTTCCTCCCTCCCTCTCTCCCTCCCTCCCTCCCTCCCTCCCTCCCTCCTTCCCTCCCTCCCTCCCTCCCTCCCTCCCTCCCTGTCAGCCAGTTTCTTCACTCAGATGTTTAGCCTTCAATCAGATAATGGCATGACATGAAAATAAGTTAAAATCGGTTAAAACTCAGCAAGGTCTTTCAGAATATCTCCACCGACATCCGCGATTTCAGCCTTTGCCATCTAGCAATGGACTAATGGGGAAGTGCCTGGGCTGGAAATGGTCCCTGTGAGAGCTGGCTGCTCCTCTGGTGACCTGAAGGCTGATTTTTTTTCCCTGCCTCACCTCCTCCCTACCTCTCAGCCTTCCTTCCTCCCGGACACCTCTACCCACCCAGCCTCCGAGCAACCCCCCCTCTTCCTCCGAGCCCTGTCCAGTGCTCACTGTCAGAACATCCGA